AGCCTCTCTGTCATTTTAAGATGGAGCAGCATCTGTCTCCAAGTCTCTCCTCCGTTTCTTAACATTTAAAAGTACACCTATTTATACCTTAGGTGTCTCCATTTTAGGGTTACCGTAGTTCATATATGAAAAAGTAACACTTATTTTTCTTTATTAATTTTATGACCTCCCTTAATTTGGCAAACATACAAGGCCATAACTAAAGGGTGCATACGTCATGGAACTTTTCCTGACTTAGTTCAAGATGGCATCTTAAAGTCTGAACATCCTTATCTACTTAGGGTTACCAGAGTATATTATGTACTGAAAGTCATCATAGGATAGCCTTGAAGCTTGTTTATGCATTATTGTTATTGAAATTCGTCTGGGACAAAATGATGTAAACATAATATGCACTGAGGTTATTGCTTAAAGAAACATCTTTGAAAAACAAGATGTTCCATTTCTAACACCTTGTCAGTTTGCAATATCTCTTAAAGACAAAGTACACAGTTTAAGAAATACATTTCATTCTAAAACTTGTAATATTTGCATTTGCCCATAAAAGTACCATCAGTACTTAAAAAGTGCATTAAAAAGTTCTCTATGAGACACCCCCACTTCAACTTTGAGCGAGCACTCAAAGGGAATGAGAAAAGCAAACCTACCCACTGTCTGCTTGATGTTTACCAAAGGGGTTAATAAAAGTTGTCGTTTTTCTTGAAATTGCCATTTTAGGAAATTTTGATAAAGGAGACATGATATTAACCCTTAAATCACAACAGTGGGCTTGGCAATGTTCCGTTAAGTACAGCTGGACAGCCATATTTATTTCCCCAGCCAAAGAGCAGCAGTAGAGACTGTAAACACCAGATACATTATCTAATCAGAGCATCCAAGTAAGCAGATGAAGATATTTCTCTATTATGGTGGAGGAGCATATTTAACATCCAATCAAAACATCCAACACAGACTTACAGCGGCATGTTCCTCTACTGGGAAACCAAAGTTACAAACAACAATATACAAGGAACCATAAATACAACTTTCATTACAAAAACAGATAAACTATATTGTGGTTGCACGCAGGGTAATTTGGCCAGATTGAATACAAGCAAGGTCACTGGTAAGAGCCTTCAGGTCGCTTGATACGTTCAGGAAAGAGTAACAAAAGCAGAATTAGTGTTTAGATTATGAGGGAAAATGTTTTATAACATTAGAGAGAAGGTTTATTTTTAAAGCACATCTCAAATATCCTGTTGCAAGCACACCCTGGTCTATTTATAAAGAAGCAGAAATATTTTTTGGCACAAAGAGCAAGTACTAACAGAAAGATAATACAAATGTAAACACAATCTCAAAGCCATTTTTTCCACTTCTGTGTTGGAGATATAACATTCCGAACTCCCAACGTTCAAGCTTCCTTGCTGCATTTGCTTCCAAATAAATAATATTAATGTATATACTTATAGATCATATAGGGAGCAGCATAGCCAGAAATGTTTGGAAGGTACTATAAATCCACCTAAAGGAATAGACATTTTGTAGATGTATGACAGAGAGGTTGAAAAACTTAAAAGGGTTTTATAGTCCTAAAAATAAGTTAATCATAATAACAGTTATATAGTATGAAATGCAGTTGCAGTTTCCTGATATTCATGAAAAATAATGCCAGAGGGACTATCCGTCTAGCATGTGGAAAAGGCAGTAGCTGAGATAACCTGTAATGTAAAGATAAATATAAATGGAAAAAAAGTTATTTAGTGCAAGTGATACTTTCAAAAATAGATTTAAAGGACCACTATAGTGCCAGGAAAACATACTCGTTTTCCTGGCACTATAGTGCCCTGTGGGTGCCCCCACTATCAGGGACCTCCTCCCACCGGGCTCTGGGGAGAGGAAGGGCTTAAACTTACCTCTTTCTCCAGCGCCGGGCGGGGAGCTCTCCTCCTCCTCTCCGCCTCCTCTCCTCCTCCTCTTCGGCTGAATGCGCATGCGCGGCAGGAGCTTCGCGCGCATTCAGCCAGTCTCATAGGAAAGCATTCATAGTGCTTTCCTATGAACGCTTGCGTCTTCTCACTGTGATTTTCACAGTGAGAAGCACGCAAACGCCTCTAGCGGCTGTCAATGAGACAGCCACTAGAGGGTTTAGAGGCTGGATTAACCATATTAGAAACATAGCAGTTTCTCAAAAAAAAAGGGTTAACCCTAGCTGGACCAGGCACCCAGACCACTTCATTAAGCTGAAGTGGTCTGGGTGCCTATAGTAGTCCTTTAAGTTACATCTACAATGAAAATTCAGAGCCAGTGAGAAAAATATACAGGGTTATTCAATATACCTAGAATTGTCGGGAATTCAAAGTCCATTTCAAATTTTAGGTTAAAAAAAGCCAAACTTAATGCTCAGTTGACTTAGAGAATTTTTACAATTCAACTACTTTAGCCTTAAGTTTACTTTGAAATCGTGACAATTTTCACTTTAGTGAATAATACTGACTATGAAAAAAATAGTTTTTGTTTCTTTCTAAGTTGAATTATTTTTTGATTTTTAAATATTTTAAATATATGTCATCATAAGACAAAATATATAAGTGACATTTCCTGTCATTCATCCATACGGAAATATCACATAAAAACAGGGCATTTCACAAATGTTTTGGCTGGTCCAATTTTCCTAAATGCGTTGACGCCAAGCCTTGTGAGAATTCTAATTGTCTACAACACAGACACAAATTGGGCTCAATTTAACATCATTGGATATTTTTAAATTTGAGTTAATATTTTGGAATAAACGTTTAAAATTATGCCTTATTAAAAATATTTTAAGCTTGTAATATTTTGATAGTGCTTTATACATTATTTTTTTTGTATGTATATTATATATTTTTTGATATTTTAATAGTTTGAAAAAAAATTATTTTAAAAATGTATCTAAAAATATAAAAACATTTGTTAAGTTTATTCAAAAATATTAAATCAAGCACAATGTACCATTCACAACTCTAGCCAGATCCTGCAGATGCATTGTGATGTCAGCATTCTAATTTAATTCTTAACATTATTTGTGAAAATTGTTATATATCTTTAAGCTAATGTTGGGTAGAACATCGGCTTAAAGGGACACTAAACAAATCAAAACACCTTTAGTTGAATTAAGCAATTTTGATGCATAGATCATGACCCTGCTGTTCACTGCTAAATTCCATGCCATTCAGGAGTTAAATCACTTTGTTTATGCAGCTCTAGTCACACCTCCCTGCATGTGACTTGCACAGCTTTCCTAAACACTTCCTGTAAAGAGTCATCTAATGTTTAAACTTCCTTTATTGTACAGTCTGTTTAATTTAGAATTTATTATCTCCCGCTCTGTTAATAACTTTCTAGAACCCACAGGATCCTCCTGTATGTGATTAAAGTTAAAGTTACAGAGCAGGAGATAAAAACATTTCAAGTTAAAATGTGATTGAAAATGAAACCATTTTGTTTTTTTAATGCAAGCTGTGTGAGTCAGAACCAGGGGAAGTGTGGCTTGGGCTGCATAATCAGAAACAAGAGTTGTTTAACTCTTAAATGGCAGAGAATTGAGCAGTGAGACTGCAGGGGCATAATCTATACACCCGAACTGCTTCATTAAGCTAAAATTGTTTTGGTGACTATTGTGTGCCTTTAAACATAGTACAGAGAGTTGTCATCAATGGTACATTGAGTTTTGTGCAGTTCTGTGTCAGGGTAACTTAATTTGGAGTTTAACCCCTTAAGGACACATGACATGTGTGGCATGTCATGATTCCCTTTTATTCCAGAAGTTTGGTCCTTAAGGGGCTAAAGTATAGAAGAAAGAAATTACACATGCCCTATTTAAACAATGACTCAGGATTGCTTACAGTTTTGAGTTATGTATGTCATAGGGATTGTTCAACCAGAGAGATAAGGCTGATGTAACAGTTATTAAGTGACATCATGAAGAGCCTATCACAATGCAAGCAGTTGTGCTGTGTATGTGAAGTCATTTTCGGTTGGATTGGTCTGAGGAAGATGTGTAGATGACAAGCTGCAGTTAAGATCTGATGTAAGATATCTTAGATACAATTTCACAGGCAGAGCGCTATGAAGAGCAAGGTAGGCATTTCAAACATTTCCTATTCTAATATTTGTGCTTATATCAGTATGAGTAAGGACATTGATGAGAGAGTATGAAGGTGGGATATTAGGGAGACTATCTGGATGTAAAGGAACTACAGTATGTATAAATTAGTACAGTTACAATTGTGAATGTAAATACGACATTTTGCACCTTTGTTGAAAATTACTTGAACATAGGAATTACGTGTATATTGACTTCATTATTAGGGGATATTAACCACATACCTGCTATTTTCTCACACTGCCAATAAATAACAATTTAGTTTTAAAATGCTTTTAGCAGCATTGAGAGTAAATGTGATAGTTATAACCACAGTTTTTTTTTCCAATTCTTTATTTTTGTTGTGCAGGTAGTACATAACAGTGTTAAACGCCACAACAGTGTACATAAGGGTATACAGGCTAGACTGTGGCATGGGTATTTGCACATTTTTCATTTATGAACAGGCTTAATGTATCTGATGAGGTTCAGTTGAGTATTTTAGTATATGTATGAAACAAGAGAGTGTTACACAATAGTCGCTTGTGTTAACTAGGCTAGGTACAAGACATTATATAGTATCCTGCATGGCTGCCCTTTAGTATGGGCATACGCACAACACAGTTATATTATAATAGCATAATACAGGTATATAGAGTATGTGTTATGAGAGTAGCTTTTGGGGTGATTCATTACAGTAATACTAGTGAGGTAAACCCCTGGGTTGCCCCAACATCTCATGTAGTGTGTGTAGATAGAGGCATGCAAACAAAACATCAATTATGGTATAACAGAAAATTAAATTAAATTAGCGGCATCATCAGCGGGTATAGAAGTGCAGCACAAGGAAACATGTCCTAGAGATTACGCTTGCCACGCACAGGGTGGTATAGCGATATCAGCCGATGCCTCGGCTCAGTATTTTGGGAGAGTCTCTGGGTGTTGCTATGTAAGTTAGGTATGCCAGGGTGTTTTCTCTCTCCCTCCTGGTCTGCGAGAGGGCCCTTGTCCGGGATCCGTGGAACCAGGATATGGGATATGTCAACTCCCTCTCCGCCGGTATACTGCGGGGGCCCGGAGTGATCCGCCTCTGGATGCGGGTGCCGCGACTCTGCTGTCGTGGAACATGCTTTGCGGCTGTTACCGGAGCGGCCCTTAGTCTTGGTAGGTTAGGCTGAGGGTGCACTGGTGCTTTGGAGGGTGTTTTGCTCACGGAAGACCCAGGCTTTGTGCGGTTCCGGTCACTTCGCCTTCTCACCTGTTGCTGAGGGTGTGGGTACTGCTTTCGAGCCTCTATCTTGTGCCAGAATTGCTCAAACAATTTGTCAAGGCGTTGTAGCATGCCTTCTACCGAGCCCGGTCGATCATCCACCAGTCTGTGCAGTTCGCGCCCCTGTTCAGGGAGCACATCCGCCATCTTGAGTGAGTTGGCCGGGTTCACCTCGTGGTTGGTGTCGGGCAACTGAGTGTATCGTTTGGATATGGCGCTAGCCAGGGGGGTCCGGGATAAGCCCCACCGGTCCGGGAGGTGGGGGCAGCACTAGTTGATTATCTCACCGCCAGTAGAAGCAGTAGGAGAGCAGCCGCCTCTCCTCCACTCGGTCACTGGTAGGCCGTAAAAGCCTTGAGTCAGGGTTTCCAGCGGGGGAGAGGTCCGCGGAAGGGATTGGCAGCACCACCGGGGTTTCAGTCACAAGCTTAGTCGTGCTTTGCGTCCAGGTGAGGTGTTTGTTCGAGAATAATGTCAGATTTTGGGTGCCATTTGTGGGAGCTCAGGCAACACACGACTGTACTGGTCAGTAGCCAGGCTCCGCCCCATAACCAGAGTTCTCTAAATAAAGAAATACATACATACATGCATATGTCCATACTGGAAATAAATGATACTTTTTAGTATAAAACACATACAATCAATATTGTACATCTTAATTTTAAGGATATTTTACAGAAATACTGACATGCATTTTATTTTATTTTAGTCAAATGTAGTGAAAGGAGAGGTATAAAAAGGCAGGGTTGTTCACTAAAATGTAATTTGTCAGAGATTTAAAAGTGAATTCATTAAAAGTGAATACATTTTAGGGCAAAGATACAGACATGGAAAGATTCTTCAAGTCCGTTATGTTTTCACTTTATCTATTTGGCCTAAAATTCGAAATTCAGTTTGAATCAATTTAGAATTCCTTACAATTCACAGTTTAGTGAATAACTTTAAAAGTGAAAACTGGTGAATGTTCTTTCATCCTGAGTAAATTCTGCACATTCGTTAAGTAACTCTCTGTGTGAATAGATTAACTTTGGCTTGTTGGGCTCTTTATCAATTTCAAAGGAATCCCCAAGTACCAGCATTCTGTATGTTTGGCTAAATGTTTATATAGAGATACATTAGTTTTGCTGGATGTTTTTTTGCTCCACACTAGTACCGTACATGATGTTAGGACTTAGATTTCTGGGAGTTGTAGTTCAGCTGTTAGCTATCCACAGTAGAAAGCTGGCAATTGAAATACAACTCCTAGACTCCCTTGTTAATATTATTGTCATTTATGTAGTGCCAACATATTCTTCAGTACTTTACAATTATACAATGGGAATATCTGACAAGTCATTTACATGCAGAATATAGAGACAAGAGATGAAGAAGGCCCTGCTAAATTCAGATTATAATGTATGAGAAAGGAGTAAAGACACACAAGAGAAATAACAGCATGTCAGTGGGGAGGAGGGATGGATAAGATGCCATTGCTGGAATAAGCTAGTAAAAGTGGTGTGTGGAAATACCAAACAGTAACAGGAGAGAGAGTGAGCTGGGCTATGGTGGCAAGGGAACTGATGAGAGCTGTGAAATGAGAGAAACGTCTCCCCAGGAAGATATAAACTTTCCTAATGAGATGTGTTTTTAGTGAATTCTTAAATAACTGGAGGCTAGGGGAGAGTCTGATGGCATGGGGTAGCGAATTTCAAAGAAAGCGAGCAGCTATTTAAAAATCCTGCAGATCAGAGTTGGCAATTCAGGAACGAGCAGATGTCAGGAGAAGGTCATTTGCAGAGCCAAGAGAATGAAAAAGTGCATATTTGTCAAGTAGTGAAAAAATGTAGTGAGGAGTGGAGTTAAAGAGGGTTCTGTAAGTTTGTGTTATCAGTTTAAATTTGATTCTGTATTCTGCTATTCATCATGGTCCACATTGTGGTTCACGTGGGGGATGGAGACATTTACAGGACGACCCCGAGCAAGGTGGCTCCATCACCATTTGCAAATACATGCACTATGGAGCCTGAAGAATCTCCCCATGTTGCTGGACTGTGAACTGCCCATGGAGGGCATAGGATGAGATGAGATGGATGGTGAGACTCCTTGGGACTCATAGTCATTTACTTTTATTTTGTCTTCCTGTCTATGATTCTAAGGGGAACATGTGTTTGATTAACTTACTATACTCATTGGTTATTTCAGATTATTTGTGGTCCTGCTGATCTTTATGATCTTTATGTTACTTTACTGACCTCACTATTGATTATCAATTGTTCCCTAGCCAGAGGAGCCTCCTGGGAGATAACACTGTTAATCTATTGACCATTTCAGCCCTCTTATCTATGCTATTGTCTTGAACCAGAAAGTTGCTTACCAGCATATTATAACACAGTGTTTTATTCCTACTGTTATTATTCGTCCTATTTAGATATGTTCCTCTTCATAAACGTTCAGCTCCCGGCTAGCATTCTAAACATGGAAACATAGCCTTATAATTTTATATATTTTATAATACTATTCTAGTATTCCACTCAACTGTTTTTCTATGTAAGATATTGTGCTTGTCTACGCATATGGGACATAGCAGGCTGATCTCATTGTACAGCACTGCAGAATAAGCTGGGGCAATATAAATCATAACTAATAATAATAATTTGTCTCTGTTTCTTTATACACTGCAAAAACAAAGAATTAAAATAAAAAAATTAATAAATTAGATCCTGAAGCATACAGGAATCCAACGTAATGATTGGTAAAGGGATACGGTGTGGGAGTATTGGTCAGTCATGAGCCTGGCAGCAGCATTCATTACAGACTGTAGAGGGGCAATGCAGGTATTTGAAAAGTCAATGAATAGTGAGTTGCAATGAACAAGTCAGGAAGTGGTGAGTGCATGAACAAGTGCCTTAGTTGTATCTTGATTTAGAAATGCAGGCAATAATTATAAGGTGTAAGTTACAGGATTTGGAGACAGACTGGATGTAAGGAGAAAAGGTAAGACCGAAGTAAAAAGTAACACCAAGGCAGCGAGCTTGGGGGGTTGGGATAATAGGTGTCCTATTGACTTGCAGGGAGAATGTTGGAGACTGACTATTTGAGGGTGGCAAGATAAGGAGTTTGATTACCTTGAATCACTGCTTACATGACAAGGACTGCTGTCAAACGTAAACTAAGCATGTTTTGGTGAGAGCTCATTGCAAATCTTGCAATCTGGAGATCTGCAGAAAATGTCTAAACTTCAATGTGACTTTTATTTTATTATTATTTATCCATGTATATATGTATATACATATGTGATTCATTTTCAAAAATGAAAAGGTTGAATCAATACTGTAATATTCTTTTAAAGATAGTTTTTTATGTTGTTAATATATTCTTGAAAATATCTCATCTATTATTTTGTTTAATTAATGTATATTTACAGGTTAGAAGAAATCTCTTGCCTATCTCTCGCACTCCCCATTTATGACAGCCATCTTTATTCCCCTTGGGTCATAGTGTCGGTTATCTCAACCAGTGCTCACTATTTGCAACCATCATTAATACACTGAGTGCCAGGACATTTGCTTTTCTGTACTTTGGACTTGAGGTTATATAACCTTGGTCTGTGAGTCACCTAGGAGTGATCCTTACATAGTATGTTGGCAGACCCACGACACCAGAGATTATCAGATGCTCTGACGCCAATGTGTTGGCAATGGAGTCATCATTTCGACATCGACCAGAGAGTGGGTGCTACAATAGCACAACACCCATGGACCTCAGAGAATTATGACAATAATCTAACAGCTCGTAAAGCAAATACATTTTTCATTAATCAATTTGGTAAATTGTATATATACTGCTTTAGGAGCCATTATATGTGAATGATATCCTGTTGTGACATTCACTCAGGATCTCCTGTATATTTAATTAGAGAGGCTGGGGATGCGTTTATATCTTTATTTTATACTGAATATTTTTATTATTTTATTATTTATATAGCACCATCAGATTCCGTAGCGCTGTACAATGTGAATATAATGTCACAATGGGAGCAAATGATTTAAAGGAGCTGCACTAGCCTCATTTCAAACTTATTGTCGGTTTCCACATTGAAATACACATGGAGCTACTAACCGGTATTCATTGACTAAACAAAGTGTTCTAGAGAAACATAATTGCAAAATCTAGGCCATAATAGACACATCTGAATAACTTTATTTATTTTCTTTATTATATAAATTAGAAATGTTTTCCTATAAATTTACTGCTGCACTCCTTTACAGATTCATTGTAAATTTAGTAAATACTCCATCCAAATGAATGAAAATGAGTGTGGACTTATTACCCAGGTATTTTATAGTCCCAGCCAGAAGAGTCCAGTAGGCATACGAGTGGTTCACAGGTGTGCTTATAGTAGTTTTTATTTCACCATACTCACAAACTGAATGGATTTAGATTCATCATTATCCTTTCTCTTATTACCACAAAAAGCGTGCTTAAACTGATGATAAGATTGAGCTATAGATAACAGAAAAAACACAATATAGTGCAGACAATCTGGATAGTGTAATGTACAATAAGGGATAATGGGGAGAACTCACATGGACGAGAGCCCTATCATCCTTGGCTTTGGGTTTGAAAAACTCCACTGGAGAGGGAAGTATCCCACACTGTGCTGACAGGATCTGGATGGTATGCTCCCAGTGAACAGATGATTCTATGCAATACAGGACAGAGAGAGGCAGAAACCCCTAATTGAATAGTATCTTTCTTAATTTATTATAAAAAAGGTTAAAAACTCTTACTTTGCAGTTGGTGTGTATGCCAGTAAAAACTACCCACATACAAGCATGTAAGACTAAAACAACTTTCTCCATTCAATACAGTCACTTCCGAGTTTGCCAGTATCGATCATGTGATCTCTTCCGGGTCTGCTTCTCCTGTGACATCCCCATTACCCCTTATTGTACATTACACTATCCAGATTTTCTGCACTATATTGTGTTTTTTCTGTTATCTGTAGATCAATTTAGTCATCAGTTCAAGAAAGCTTTTTGTGGTAATATTATTCTTATCTGTGTATACATTTTTGTGTCACTGTGGTACAGTGCAGCTGAACTGAGTACCTCATCACCTCTATAGGGCTTATACACTTTTGGATCCTTTCTCTTATGTCTGCACAT